AGACAAAAAGATGAAAAAATCAAATAAATAAAAAAATCATGAAAAAAATAAAAAAAATCATTGATATTTGATTTAAAAAAAAAAATAAAAAATCACCAACCCTGCTACCAATCCCTCGGTATTCTCCCACTAGCTTCAGAGGTTCACCAATTGTGTCGGCTCAAGAGCTAGGTATAAGTATTTCCATTGATGTCAGGGGCAATCCACTTATCTTCGCCATGAATGAGTCATACCACGTCTGGCACATGTAGAGATCTCCATTGAAAGGCTCCGGTGTCTTGTGGAACAGCATTTGCTTGAGAATGGAGAAAGAATCGAAGCCTAAAAGGTTTTGAGTGGCAGCTGAAGAATTGGTAGGAGAGACATGCGAGTTGACTAATGCATGAGTAGGGAAGGAAGGAGGTTGTTGTTGGTGGTGGGTTCCTAACTTCCGAGTGAAATTTCTTGCTGGCCTTGGAGCACAGATGTGTTGAATTGGGGTAAATGAGAAGAATGGTGTTGATAAGGGTTGGAAGGTGCAGTGGTGTTGGGTTGTGTGGAGAGACCTAGCTCTGACCCATAGGGTCAGAGCCAGGTTGATTCAGATTATTTTTCTGTATTGAGAGCTCAGCAAGCTCATTGATGTAAGACTGGGTTCTTGAGGCTCTGCTTTCAGTTGGCAAGCCTTTGTGGTTCAGGTTGCTCGAAGATTGGGCTGGAGCAGAAACTTGAAATTTAGAAGACATTTTAGTGGTATCAGTGTTTGATACAGGGGAGATGGGTCGCCTGCCGAAGACCACAACTGCCCTGGATGTAATGGACCATCATGATTCCTGCCTTGCCGAACGTAGCCTTCAACACTTCAAGCCGTCCGTATCTAGGCCGTGGGTCGAACCAGCCCCCGGTCGAACGGCCACTTGNGATTTGTGGATGTCCAGAGAGATCCAAGGCGTTCGATTCAGGGCTTATTGGTGCACAAAATTGGTGGTGCACGGCTGCACTCCCTGGGAGATATCTTCGGGGTCTATGTTTCCCTCCAGTTCGCGGATAAGAGAGACATCCGTTGACTTCCTCTTTGAAGGCAAGTCTCAGTCCTCAAACCCTTTGATCATTCCGTGTGCCCTATGTCCTTGAGCCTTTTAGTCAAGGCCATTGCCTTTAATTTACAGCACTTGAAGGTATCCTTTATTGCTTGAGTGACTTCTGTCACTTCCTGGGGTTCCATGCCGTCCAAAACTGCGCAGAAACCCCTGCAGGGTTGTCAGAGCAGTGCCAACCTGCTTCTCCAGCTAGTGCATGCGTAGATAGTGCATGGCGCCTCGTTGCCTTTTTCTCCGTTATTTAGAATTGAACGGGGTTCAGTCTCAGAAACAGAAACCCAAATTAAGTAAGATGGAATTATTCACCTTCCTTAAAAATGAACAATTCTTGAAAAACATTGTAAATAGTGGTTACATTAATTTCCATCTTAATATGTTATTAACCACGATAACGCGGTTATTTTGAGACCAAAACGAAGTAGGTACGACAATCTTTGCATTCGAGGCAACGTTTGAAATCGAAGTTAAGAGTCTAAGTAGGCTCTATATATTCGAGGTTTATGGACAAATAATTTCACATGCTTCGCAAGGCTTCTGAAATGAAATTTACGGGTGATATGCCCGAATTTCGTACATTCTTTTTACACTTCGGAAATGATTGATAACTTTTACTATTTGCAACTTTGAGGTCTACAAACTTGACATGCTGCATTATTCTTCGCTGCGAACACAGACGACAAATCGAAATTCGAAAGTGAAAGTTTGGTTTAGATTCCCGTTTAAAATATTAAACGATTGCAGTTTTTCACAGAATAGCTTTTTCTGCTTCGAATGAGGCCTTGATCATGCTTCTGCGACAAAAGTTCGTCAAACTGCTGATGTTTAAAAATGTGCATTCCCCTAAGTGGCCTAGAAGACGCAATCAATAAACGCAACTAATCGCCCCGTGTATAAGCACCTTTACCTCAAATGTGCGAACTAAAAATGTCCCTAATACATATACTTTATTGGCATTTTGAGGATATGAATATATTCAAGTAAATATTTTCAAATATTCAGTATAAATATTCAAATATTCAAGTAAATATATTTGATCACAATACTTTTAGGGGAGGAAATACCCCACACTATGTATAAATGTTGAAGTAAACAGGTCTGTTGTCAATATTTTAAAATTGTGAATCAATAGATGTCTGACCTTACTCTGTTTTCCAATAACATCGTTCATATAATTGCCCCACGGAATTGATTAAGGTCACTTCGAAAGATACTTCATCGAACCAAGTGAAATTCCACAGGTTTCAAACTAGTCAAGATGACAATATAAATTTTGTAAAATCTTCAATGATAAAATTATTAATGAGATGCGAAGGGATCTCCGAAACTACGGTACTGCAAAAATATAAATAAAAAAAATTCACTAAAATTCACCATTCACTGGCGAATCGAAAAATCGATTGACATCATATGGCTCTCGCCTGCTCTTTGCTAATCAAAATATTTCCAGTTACCACTTCTGATTCGTGTCATCCTGCAGGGATTCCGCGCACTTGTAAGCGGCTGACCAATCGACACTACGTCAACGACTCAAGATGATGCCACTACTGAACTCGTACGTTTCTCGTCATACGCGATTAAAAGCTCAACAGCAACATTTTTCACTAAATATTCAGCCCTACATCACCAAGTCTGTTTGGCCAAGTTTCACCAAGTCATCGTCATTTAACTACTAAAGCAGTTAGGCAGGTAAATGTCGCCTAATCTGCCCTTGACTGACAACTGCTCATTAACACAACTTAAAGGTTAACTTGATATTCCTTAACCCCACGTTCGGAATGTTAAAATGTTTCGTTTTGTTTTCGTATAGTAAGGAATATCATGTCTTGCTTTCAATATATAAGACATCTCTCGTTTCGTTACGTCACGTTTCGTTTTATATCCTGGATCCATCTGTCTCGTATCGTTCCATAATTACCAGAACACAAGTTTTAAAGTCGCCCTGTCCCGGTTCATACGTTGTTTCCGGGACAAAATTTTCCCTCAATCCCGTAATTTTTTCCCTATAATTTCTCGTCGTGTCCTGGTGGTCCCGGTTCATTTCGAGAAAATTATTCCGAGACGCAAGAGTCTACAGTGAGGTGTGAGAGAGGAAAAGGCTGGATGGAGTGGAGGTCTAGAGAGAGTAACAAGAAGAAATAAACAACACAATGCAGCCCATAAACTACAAACTAAACAAAATATATCCAAAATTATTTCCAAATCTATCAGGTCGCACTTTTCCTTGGCTGAAGGAATGTGTTTATGCACATGTGTGGCAACAGTCAGATCATATATGCCATATGAGCCGCAGTATGAGCGCATGCAGATGTACCCTTAATTATATAGAAATTACTATAAGATAGCAGAATAAGCTTATTTAAACACGAGTGGTTAATGACCAGATTATTTTCGCGGTTCCAAATTTTCGTGTTGTATCATATTTACGTGTATCATGTACTTATTTCCGCCAAAATTTCAGTATTCAATGCTTCCTATAACTTGAAAATGAATGATGTCACATTCGAAACGTCGTTAATAAATTAAATTACTTCCTTGAACCTGAATTTTTATCAACCAACGTCCACTGAAGAATATTGTTCGATTTTGAAAATTTAAATCAATGATTTCTCTGGTCATTAACCACTCGTGTTTAATTATATAGGAGCATGAATATAGCAGCGCCTGCCGATTCAAAATTCCTATAGCCGCATGCTTGAGAACTCCATGCCTCAAATCCCTAACTTATACCAATCTACGCGAGTATTTCTGATTTATTCGGAAGGGATCTTAACTTTGTTCATGGCATTGTTTTTAGTATATCCATATTACCCGGATCATTTCTTTCACTCGTTATACATATCTTGTTGCGTGAAACTTGACCTTTAATTTGATATGCCAGGTAATTTAAATATTATTAAGGAGCTCATCAGAGGTCATCAAATCCTTAGCTATCATTTAGCATTTGAAATTGAGCTTGATTTTCCGACAGAAAAAAACCGATGATTGTTATTTCGCGCCATAAAATCAATATGAAACCCCCATGCACACGTATGATTACAAACTGATGTAATCATACATCCTCAATGATTCATAACAAAACCTTCATGATTTGATTCTGAATATTTGACTGTGAATATCAAATATGTAAATGACAATTGATCAAACAGTTCTTTTTCTGTAAGATTTAAATCTTTTATATATTAACCAATGCTTAATTTCTCATCACTAATTTCTCTACCATTCTCACAATTTGCCTCCCCCCTCCGCATAACGATATGATTGCTATGACAGGTTAAGTTATTAAAAAGTGTTCGTGTCTCTATAGCAGTTCAAGTGCTTTATTATATGTCAGTAAGGAATATTATGGACCTGATCAATTAATATTCAACATTTGAAGCTTCACTGCATTGCCCTTTCAAAACTTATGCTCGCTTCGTGTTCACGCTTATTAGAAGGAGCTTCTGATTATATGAATATGAAAGAAGTTGGGTGACGTCATCCTTGCATTTATTAGTCAGATGATCAAGTGATGATCTTTTAACATATGACCCTGCGACACCTCACTTCAATTATGCAATTGTATTCAGTTAAAAGTCAAACCATACAAAAGGACATATATAAATGCGACTGTTTGATGAGAAGATCAGTCTACGGCAAATCTTCAAAGACATCAACGCAGGCAATATTTCTCTCGACAGTGTGTGTAGAATAAAATTAATTGGCCCTGCTTACATTTATTAAGTTATGGAAATAATGTCTATTTGGGTATATGAGTTGGTTAATTTATCTGGATGCTTTTGATTGATAGAAGAGCTCATAGGTCTGAACATTGGTTGTCAGAAATTGTCCATGAATAAATATTAAAAATTTTAAAAATCATTATTTTTCATTATAATCATTTAAAAAATCATTATTAATAAATTGTTATCATAAATTTACAAAATGGTACCGTCACAGGCCATGGAGGCTCCGCTGGCAGGCGGGTCGTCTGTCTGCATCAGAGCTGCGATGGCCAATGTTAGTAACTATACAGGTTTGAAGATACATCTTACTTTATTCATTACTCAATTTATGTTCCATTCTAGGATTTTTTCAATTACCTATTTGAAAAATATCACATTTTTCATTACATCGCGAAATAAGATTTCATCACACCGTAAACTTGCTACGAAACGCTGAAGACTGAATATTTTCTTCCAACAGTTTCCACCATACTTGACAATCAAGGCTGATTCACCCCAAGGTGCCGTTGGAGTAATCGTGGATGCTATGGAGATTATTACAAAGAAACTGGGGTGGTGGTGAGGAATTATGTATAGAAATTGCTTTCTGCTGATTGCCGTCGACAACTGAGCGATCATTTTACTTGCACTGTCACTTCACAATATTCGAGTTTTCTGAGATGGCAGTAACAGGGCCGACCTGTCGGTTGGATCACAATTCTAACAGCCCAATCTTAAAATGAAACCATGCATGCATTTAAAAATACTCCAATATTTGATGCATTGCACTATTATTATATTTGAACTATTAAGGTTCACTGGTGTATTAACTTGATATATTTTCAGCATCATCTATAAACCAGCAGCGTCAGGCTACATCGGAGGCCTGCTGCCCAACAATACCTGGGATGGCGCCATTGGTGAAGTCATCCGTCACGTGAGAATTACATTCATATTATCTCTGTTCATAATAATGCGGTGCCAGTTTTCTTGAATAGGCTATTTTTAATTAAACTTATTCATTTAGGAGGGACTCCTTGCACTTCTAATTCCATCGAGACAATACGAATAATACTAGTGGTGGTCGCAACTGAACTGATTAACGACCCTTAAAGATAGATAAATATTTTGACGGTACTTGTAATCGTTGTAATTGAGGTTTCTTCTTGCCCTATCTCCTTGTGGGTCAACTTTGATTGAAAAAAATTCAGCCTTGCCTACGTATCCCTATCGAAACTTTTATTCCTGTCAGCCGCTGGCACAAGGACGCCCCAAGTTCTTATTACGGTGTAAATTAGAAGCTCTATAGTCCGCTTTAGGTTCCGGTCGCCGGAGCGAAATTAGCGCCGAAATGGAATCTTGTGAAATTACCCGTCGAGCTTGGGGCGATCGCGGGGCGCGCGTATTTGGTACCTGATACGTTCGGGACAGACACGGCCGAATCTGAAAAATGCGTTAAAAAAATGCCCCCTCCCTTCCCCCCTTCATGGGGGGAAGGGAGGGGGCATTTCAATCTCTGTACCTTATATATATGTGCAGTAGGGTGGTCCTCAAAAAACTTTTTCTCTTGAAAATGAGTTCCTACCTCAAAAACGAGTTCCTCTAGATGCCTAAATGATATCTCTAAAATATTTTTCAAATCGGTTAATACTTAGAGGTCGCTCAATGGTGTCAAAGTTTCACCCCCATGGCTCAAGGTCATTGGGTCCGTATAATGAAAAAATTAGATCAGTACTCACTGCAGTGAGTGACAGAGAGCGCATTTTCTCGTCCTTCCGTGAATTCACGGACAGACAGACGGACGGAAAGACATGACGACCACAATAGCTCCTTTTTCCAGGAATGGAAAATGCGCTAAAAAGGAACGGGTCTAAACATTAGGGTTGTCCTCAACACTGGGGTCCANACGGCTAATGCTCTGTCCGGATGGGGGGGTGCGGGAGGTAGACCCCCACATACCCGCATACCCCCGTATGGCGGGAACTTCTAAGCACGCTCGCGCTAAAAACTCATGCCAGCTACTGAGCAGGGTAAGCCAATGGTGGCCTGACCAGCCACTGATTTCGTGTCATTTCTCATTTGACCCTTATATTTCTTCCCATGAAACTACTCAAAAGAGCTCCTATTTGGCGGCTAAATAGAAGAGGCGGCCATTTTGCATCTGATTCATCTCTAATCCGAGACTCGCAACGGAAATCGGAACGATAGCCGCGCGTAAATTTTGACAGGTTATAGTTGACTTGAAAGATTTTTTAAAGCGAATGTGCAATTTAGTCAAATGTCTCAAGAAAACTGTGAAGGAATTAAGTCTTATTGCTTTATCATCACTCTCGATGAAGAAACTTTCGCATCTCAACGCGTAAAGGCTGCTTGTCGCACAACCATCGACTGAGCTCACTTTGCTGTTGCTACTGAAATCTTGTAGCTACGCGATTGCCTCCACAACAGTTATGCAAGGAGACTCAATTGTGATTCCGTTCCAGTTGTTTGTTGCGATGTTGAAATGGGGTTCAAGCCGTTCTTTTTCAAAGCAAAGATTACTAACAATCCGTTTTATTTGTTGTCAGGAATTCGACATGATTGCTTCCCCATTGCTGCCGAACTACGAGCGAAACATGGCCGTGGACCTCTCGGAGTTCCTGTGGGATGCGTCGCACGCGACTATCCAGAGGAAGGCACAAGTGCAGCCTGATATTGCTGGCTTCATAAAGCCGTTCTCGGCCACGGTGAGGCTCGTGAGGTTATGTTTAACCTTCATATATTATTTTGACCGAATAATTTTTATTGCATACTTATTTTAACACACCGAGTGGATGTCTACTGGCTAAAGTGCGCTGAATCATTTTAGATTTATACATTATGATATTTGCCATCGTCGCAATGACCGTAAAAGTCTCAATTATATGAATGGCTCTTATTATTTATTGAAAATTAATATTGATCACCAGCATAAAAATGAAAGTCAATCGACAATTTCGTCGACCACTTGAATATTCAAACAGTCCCCAAGCACTTGGGTTTGAATCGGTAAAACTCAAATCTGCTCATCAGACTTGGCTGAGCGTTCTAGCAACGTTTGTTGCTTTCGTCATCTGCTTCATCTTGACGTTCAAGATGCGAGAGATTCTCTCGCCAAGACCCAGTTCAAAGTAAGACAAGTTATCCAAATAAGCCTGAAATGGAAGTGATGAATTTCTGTTAGTAATGGAACAAATATTATATCCACATTCCACATTCAATTCGCTTTTTTTAGAATTAAAATTCTGTTCAAGGAACGAATTCAAAATTTACAATGTAATTTCTCATATTGTTCCTGTTCCAAAGATTGTTGATTGCAATGGAAAAAATAACACACGCGATTGAGATACTGTACAGTATTATCTTAGGGAATAACATATTTTTCCAACAAATTTTCTGATGTAATATGTACTATTTTTCCCGTAGACGAGACCAACACCGATTGTCGTCACGTGACGTCCGAATATCAGTTTTCGCAGTGCTGAAAATTCTGCTTAACCAACGTAAGCGAAAGCCGATGAGCGTCTGCTTCATGAGATAAAGCAACGCGTTTTTACCTTAATTGAACCAATAAAATTGATCCAATGATGCAGCGTATAACCATTTATCTGTAAATGTGACTGCATGGTGTAGCGCGAACAGATTGACAAATCATGATTCGAAAATGTTTTGTATCTGAAAGTGAACTGCATATATAAACTTTTATTGCAGCCCAGGAACGCGACGAACGCTTGCCCCTGATGCGTCTGTTGCTAATGACGACGATGCTGTGGGGCTTCCTACTGAGCACTTTCTACAGGACCTTCCTCACGTCCATGCTCGTCCTGCCGAGGGTGGTCGAGCCCTTCAACACCCTCGAAGAGCTCGTCACCAGGAGGCCCATGCCGCACATGCTCGTGCCCGGGTCGTTTCTTGGCGCCATGGCCAAGGTTTGTTTTATATGTGTTGGCTTCAATACAATACTAATGAATTACAAATGCAACGAAATTCCGATGCCCAGTTCCATAGATCCCGTTCTTCTTGGAGCACTGCGGCGTTGCCATCCAATCAGAAATTCAGGTTGTGGAGGAACGTATGCGTTATGGGCGTAATAAGGCCTTAAAAACAGCGGATTCAACTTGGCTAAGCTTACGTGAATTGCCATGATAGCTTGTATGCAATTAAATATGAAGATTTACAGACACAAAAACCCAACAAATATATGAAGCTTTAACGAAGCATGGTAAAACGAATCTTTACCAAGCAGAGTTGAAGTAGACTCTCTTCCAACTGGGCAACTTGAGGCAGAACAGGGATCACTCTATTTAGTAGAGTGATCCCTGTTTTGCCTCAATTCTGTTTCTGCAATTCTTAATCATTGTTAAGTCCTAATTGTAAACTGGTGTCCTGGATACGTAGTTCCTATATTTTTAAATAAATTAATCAATTATACAAGTTTAGTCCTTTCTATAACTATAATCGCAGTGGCTTGCAGTGGAATTTGTGTCTATAAATTCCACTGCAGTATATTTGTGTCTATTTGTGTCTATAATCGCAGTGGCTTGCAGTGGCGTCATTTGTTGCAAGGCTTGCAGTGGAAGTAACTTGCAACAAATGACGCTCCAACATCAGAATAAGAGACTACTCGCATGTCTTTGCTCTAGTCTACCGGTTGATTTTCGTGCGGTTGGACGGTCATGGTTGATTTTCACGGGCGTTGCAGCCTATATAGGTTGATGGTCAGTATGACCATCGGCTGGCTATTAGAGGCCGATGATAATACGCGCAGATATTCACCACTCGACGACTGCCGCTGAAATTTAATGAGGATGGTTAAGGGTCGTATGTTAGACGCAATGGGAAGAATATTTTATTATTAACTGAATGTATGGTAATTTATTAAGTAGTCTTAACACCGAAGTAGGTTTAATATATTCTTGGAAGCTCTAATGTACAAAGTTGATATATGAATTGCTGATGGGTGCAGTAAATTTGCTTCGTAGATTTTTGGGCCGTTTGTCAAGGGTAAGCATCAAGCTCGCACCTTTTCTTGGAAATGCTGGAAACGATGACTGAATGAATGTTCTCGTGTTGGTCTTTGTTATTTTAGACCATGCGAAATTAAAGAGTTCTTTACCAATGCGGTCCAATTTAATTATCTTATTGCTGTTATAATTTTCACAAGACAGTAAATACTGTAGAAATTACGAAAAGCTCTGATAAATTCGAATATTATTGTCCAAGGATATGTGTTATCCCAATCGAAACCTAAAGTCACCCTTTTTTGGCTTCAGGAGGCAGAACCTAATTCTACATTGGGCAAGCTGTATCGAAACGTCGGTTCATGGGAGAAGGATTTTTTCAGCGCTACCGAAAAACTTGCATCTGGAGGGCACGCTTTTGTTGGCATCAAATCCTCGATGTACGGGATGATGGACACCGTTTTTGCAAAGGTGAACGTCCTCCCGCACAAGACTTTTCTGTTGAAATATCAACAAAAATTAGCTGTTAACATACTCTAAAATAAAGGCTTGTCTTAATAGCGGCAAAAGTTCACTCAGGTATTTTGGAAATACTGTCCTGGAACACAATTTTCCCCCAAACTCTTCAAGGGATTACTGTCGTAAAAGTCAACTTGTAATTGTTACACACATTAAGCATTATCCTTCTATCAACAGACCCGTACGTGCCCTCTAATCATCAAAGACAACTTCCTCTCGTCCTGGCTCACCGTGGGCTTTCGCAAAAATTCTTCGTACACGGCCCCGTTCAACAAACAGTAAATATTTTCTTAATATATGGCCATCTCGGTTTATAAATACAACCGAGGAAAATATGACTATGGCGATAATGAGAGATTATGAACATTGAACTTGTCACATGAGTGCAATGCATTCATGCCTTGAAGGATGTTTTCGGTTAACGTTCGCCTAGACATTAAGTTTTGTTGCCTTACAAACTATAAAATGCTGCCACTTTCCATGGCTGCCACGCAGGGTGATGCTTTACGAGAACGGATTCCTGCGTGCATTTGTTCATTCTGTGAATATTTATTCGGCAGGAGCGGCCCACTTTCTGTGTGCCTACAGCCAGCGAAACGGACGCTATACTTATACTCTCCACCATTGATATGTTGCTGCATGCTATATAATCACGTACAGGGGGTTTGAGGTCAAATATTTCACTCGAGCCATTTTTCCCTGGAGCTCAAAGGATAGAATCTTTTGAAAATTAGCACAGATACGTACGCATATTTTGTGTACCAAACCATGTCGGATTTCCGAAATTTACACCCCTTCCTCCCCAAAATCCCCTAAAAAGGGAAAATTTGGTCGAAAAATTACCTAAAATGAGGTTGCGGAAACGATCACAGCTCGAAAATAGCAAACTCAGAGCAATGCGCTTGATCTCAAACTAAAGATAAAGTGCTGGAGTGTGTTTGGGATTTCGAACGATTTTTTGACGTGTCAACACTTCATCCCTAAAATTGGGGTCAAATTGAACCTGAAAAAATTTTTTCGGCCATTTTTCGGTGGTTTTCAACTCTCACTGCCAAACCGTGAACATTTTTGCCATAGTGGAAGAGGAAAAAAGATGCGTCTCGTTAAGACAAACACGCTGGTGAAAACGGATTTTGAAAAAGTTTAAAACTCACAAATTTGTGAGGAAAACTTTGATCAACTTTTTAACAACTTTTTACTTTTTTCTCCACAGCTCTGCGGAAAATTTTTGTAGATTTTTTAACAACTTAATTTATAAAGCACAAGTCTTTGCCTTTAATTTGATTCCTGTTTCATGATCTTAGCTTCTATATAGAACTCGAGATATGATTTTTCAAAGAGGACATGAATTGACCGAATTTTCGTCGGAATCGCGTAACTTCGAGAGCTTGCCTGAAAGTTTTCAAAGTCTTTACTCGTAAGATTACTGTGCGAGCTGCGTATTTCCTGGAAGCATTCTGAAAGTTGCAATCAACAGAGGATAGGATAAAACTGCGCTAATTATTGTGTATATCACTTTTTATCAAAATATTATTTCTTCAAGAAACTTGATGAATAAAGTTAGACCAAAAAAATTTTTTTCACTTATTGAGCAAATATTTGGCATCTTAATTTTAACACAGAAACATCATTCTTATGTGGTTACCTGCTTCAGCTCTTTAGAATTAATAATGCTAAAGAAAAAAGCTCAAAAGTTCTGTAGAAAACGGTTTTCGTGATACATTAATATTGCTCCGTGCCCGAATGACCCCGGTCCGTAACTGCGATTTTTGGCTCTTTCAAGGTCTTTTAACTCGGTAACGATCAGGATTGATGAAAATTGACACGAATAACAATGAAAAGAAAACAAAAATTCCCTTTTAATGGCCCCGAGTGTTCAGCTCGTGGCTCTGACGTTCCCTCGATATCTGCCGTCAAACAAGACTTCAACTAGAATTTCGCTCAAGCCGTATTACGACGTACGATGACCACCGGCGTGCAGGAGTAGGCAGCGCTCGTAAATGCGACTAGTAAGTTGAGAAACTGTTACCTTAAGAAGTCTTGAAGCTGTGTTTATTGCAACCATCGACTAAGTATTCAAACTTTTTGTACTATTTACTTTGATAGAGGAAAACCGACACCTAGGTTATTGAGGTTTAGGGTATTTAGGTCGGAGTTCGCATTTCCAACACGTTTAGTGAGTGTTGAAAATGCGAGCTCCGGCCCCAATCATGCACGGTACGGAAATAGAACAGGTAGGAAATTAAACATGTCGTAAAATATACGTCATTTGCTTAGGTTAGGTTCAAGCCAGGAACAAGTTCCTATGGCGACCATGACAAAGGGTGATTATGTTAGGTAAGAAAGGTTAGTTCAGGCTAGGTTAGGTTAGGTTAAGTTAATGTAGGTTGGGTTAGGTTAGGTAGGGACAGGTTAGGTTACGTTAGGTTAGGATATGTCAGGCTATGTTCAGTTCGGTTAGGTTAGGTTAGGTTAGGGTTTTTTGGCTAGGTAAAACTAATGGAAGATGTTTTATACACCAATGATACACACAGGAAAAGGCCACAATTGGGGGATTGCCGTGTGTAGTAGGAAATGTGTGGCAAGAAGAAGAAGAAGAGAGAAAAAAAAGGAAAAAATGTATAGCAGCTGATCTGGTTTGCTGCGCAGGGTGAT